CCTCCTCCCAAAGTGCTGGGATTACTTACAAAGCTGTGAGCCACTGTGCCCACCCACAATGGTGGTTTTAAAATTCTTTGAGGAACACCTTTAAAAGCCTTTCTCTCTAAAAATGCACACATGCCCACACATATAAAATTTTGCAGGACACCCCATTAAAACCCATCCATAGACTCTCTTACAGGGAATAAACCATCTCCAAGTAAAAACCTCTTATTGAGGAATTTATGTTTTAAGAAATTTTCCGGCCAGGCACGGTGGCTCATGCCTATAATCCCAGCACTTTGGGAGGCCAAGGCGGGTGGATCACGAGGTCAAGAGATCGAGACCATCCTGGTCAACAAGGTGAAACCCCGTCTCTACTAAAAATACAAAAATTAGCTGGGCATGGTGGTGCGCTCCTGTAGTTCCAGCTACTCAGGAGGCTGAGGCAGGAGAATTGCTTGAACCCAGAAGGCGGAGGTTGTGGTGAGCCGAGATCGTGCCATTGCACTCCAGTGTGGGTAACAACAGCAAAACTCCATCTCAAAAAAAAAAAGAGAAATTTTCCTCTGGACCAGGCGTGGTGGCTGACGCCTGTAATCCAAGCACTTTGGAGGCCAAGGTGGGCGGATCACCTGAGGTCGGGAGTTCAAAACCAGCCTGACCAACATGGTGAAACCCCTTTTTAAAAAAAAAAAAAAAGGAAAGAAAGAAATTTTCCTTTGAAGTACTGTCAGGTAAACAGAAAGAAAAATTTCTTCTCATTTTAAAAACGCTGTCCTTTGAGGAATTTACAATTACCAACTTATAAAAATTTTACTTACACACGACTTCACATTGAAAGGACATGCCTCCTAAGTCCTTTAAATTCTTGCAATAATAAAAATAAATTTTTGGATGGGCACAGTGGCTCAAGCCTGTAATCCTAGCACTTTGGGAAGCCGAGGCCAGTGGATCACGAGGTCAAGAGATCGAGACCATCCTGGTCAACATGGTGAAACCCCGTCTGTACTAAAAACACAAAAAATTGGCTGGGCATGGTGGCGTGTGCCTGTAGTCCCAGCTACTTGGGAGGCTGAGGCAGAAGAATTGCCTGAGACCGGGAGGCGAAGGTTGCGGTGAGCCGAGATCGTACCATTGCACTCCAGCCTGGGTAACGAGAGCAAAACTCTGTCTCAAAAAAAATAAATTTTTAAAACTTCTCTGATTTCCTTTATTCACTAATTAAAAATGCTGATAAGATGTGTGGTCCTGAACTAGGGGTGGCAAAGAAGAGAGTTCCAAGATAATGCCAAGACCAAGGACCTTGAAAAGCTTACAATCTAGTTGTACAATCTGTTCTATTAAAAAAAAGCAACCTTTCAACAATTTCCTGACCATTTTTAACAAAAACAGGTGGTTTTAAGTTGAAGTCTTTAAATGGACAGGCAAAGGAATACTGTAGGAAAAAAAGACCAAAAACTAAATTCATAGAAATTAAAGAAAGAAAAGGACAAATTATTCTACGTGACCAAAGAACTAATATATTCTAAGTAAAATATGGACAAAGTATTCTAAGGGACCAAAAGACTAAGTATTCTACCTAACATTCTCAAGAATGTAATTGATTTATCAGATAAACCTAGCTTGAAAAGGTATAGCCAATTCCACAAATTAAGACAATAGAATAAGACAAACATGACAACTTCTCTAAAAATGTTACTGCAAACGATTAAGAAAGCAAGTTAAATTTAATTAGCTTAAGACAAATAAATGGCTAGCATCCTATACACTTCCATTATCATGGCCATGGCAGACATCACCAATCAATCACACCACACTTCCCTCCTCCTCCAACATAATCTCAACACACAATCTCCAGTAGAAGTCAGGGTAGGGATTATCAGTGAACCTATTTGCTGTCCTTGATAGCTATTTTCAAATATTGAAGTTGCCGGTCGTAGTACATGCCTGTAATCCTAGGACTTTGAAAGCCGAGCCGGGTTAAGATCACCTGAGGTCAGGAGTTCAAGACCAGCCTGACCAACATGGTGAAACCCCCTCTAATAAAAATACAAAAATTAGCCAGGCATGGTGGCGCACACCTGTAATCCCAGCTACTCAGGGGGCTGAGGCAAGAGAATCACGGAAGAAGGAGGTTGCAGTGAGCTGAGATGGCATCACTGCACTTCAGCCTGGGCAACGAGACTCTGCCTGGAAAAAAAAAATAAAAAATAATTTTTTGTTAAAGAAAATAAATCATTACAGTCAAGAGAACCTAAATTTTCCTAATGAAAAAGGTTTTTTAAAGTAATCCCCTTTTTAAAGAGTTCTAGAAAATTATATTTTTTGAGAGCTTATTTTTGACCCATTTGAATAAAAAAACTGGAGACAGTCGCTTTTTCTGAGTACCTAAAATGTTGGCCAGGATGGTCTCGATCTCGGGCCTACTTACTTAGAGATTTATTTATTTATTTATTTATTTTAGAGACGGGGTTTCACCATGTTGGTCAGGCTGGTGTCAAACTCCTGACCTTGTGAACTGCCTACCTCGGCCTCCCAAAGTGCTGGGATTACAGCCGTGAGCCACAGCGCCAGGCCCTTACTTAGGTTGGGATTTTTTTTTAATATGTAGTTTAGGCCGGGCGTCGTGGTTCACGCCTGTAATCCCAGCACTTTGGGTGGCCAAGGCGGGCAGATCACCTGAGGTCAGGAGTTCAAGACCATACAGACCAACATGGTGACACCCCCTTTCTACTAAACACAAAAAATTAGCTGGGCATGGTGCTGCATGCCTCTAGTCCCAACTACTTGGGAGGCTGAGACAGGAGAATCCCTTGAACCCGGGAGGCGGAGGTTGCAATGAGCTGAGATTGTGCCACTGCACTCCAGCCTGGACAACAAGAGCAAAACTTGGTCTAAAAAAAAAAATCTGTAAATCTACCAAGAGAAAGCACTTTGTTCTTGCCGTTTAAGAGAAATACAGGTCAGTAGTAACCAAACACTTCTGAGAATGTATGTGGTCACTTAAGATTTCTGTCACTTCTTTCAAAAGAATTTAAGGTAGAACAGACTCCCGAAGTGAGGTGATTAAAAAGAGAAATAAAAACACATCCCTGGAACCCTAGGATCATGTTACAGTGAGTAACATTTAGCATGCAGTAAACCAAAAGTAAAGAGTGAAAATCTGGATTCAGGAAGGTGTAAGAGTACTATGGTATAAATGAGAAACATTTCCTAAGTACTCAAGTCTAATAAAGAAAAATATTTAATATTCTACGGAAAAAATAGGAGGCTCCAGCTGCCTAGTCTAACAGGGTTCAATTCAAGTATTATATATACATAGGCAGAAAACACCACAATCTCAGGAATATAAACACCGTAACAAGGGGCATTTCAGGCTGGGCGCTCTGGCTCATTTTGGGAGGGCGAGGTGGGAGGATCACGAGGTCAAGAGATGGAGACCATTTTGGCCAACATGGTGAAACGCGGCCTCTACTAAAAAAATATAAAAATTAGCCAGGCATGGTGGCGTGCGCCTGAAATCTCAGCTACTCAGGAGGCTGAGTCTGAGAGGCAGGAGAATCGCTTGAATCCGGGAAGCGGAGGCTGCATTGAGCCTAGATCGCGCCACTGCACTCCAGCCTGAGGAACATTGAGCCCAGATCGCGCCACTGCACTCCAGCCTGGGGAACAGAGCAAGCCTTTGTCTCCAAAAAATAAGAAAGCCCGGGGGGAGAGGGGAACATTTCTCCAATCTCAATTGCATTAATAGTAAAAACAGTAATTTGCTTTGAGAAACGTGTAGTGTCCATTAGGGGAAACTAAGTATATTTTAAAATACTTTTTTAGTAAAGTTCCTTCAGCAGAAGCTGGTGAGCAAGCAAGAATTACACATTTCTTACACATTCTAGAACTCCGTACATATACCCATTCAGACCATTTTTTCCATTATTTTTTATTTTAAAGATTAAGTAGTTTGAAAAGGCTTTTGTACTTCTTTTACAGTAAGTACAAAAATACAACGAACATTCCTGCGCAGAACCTTTATTTCTTCCTAAAACAGGAGTGAAACGTGAGCCATCTGTAAAGACCAAGATAGCGGTGGCTCATGCCTATAATCCCAGCACTTTGGGAGGCCAAGGCGGGTGGATCACGAGGTCAAGAGATCGAGACCATCCTGGTCAACAAGGTGAAATTTTAGTCTCTACTAAAAATACAAAAATTAGCCGGGCATGGTGGTGTGCGCCTGTAGTCCCAGCTACTCGGGAGGCTGAGGCAGGAGAATTGCTTGAACCCAGAAGGCGGAGGTTGTGGTGAGCCGAGATCATGCTATTGCACTCCAGTCTGGGTAACAACAGCGAAACTCCGTCTCAAAAAAAAAATAAAATAAAAATTTTTTAACCTTTTAAAAATAAATTTGCTTCTACTTTGTGCTTTTTCACTTGGACAAGTCACTCGTTTAAAAACTATCTTAGTCAACGCCCTTTTCGGCCCTAGCCCACCTGCACCCAGGTGAAAAATACATAAAAACAAATAAATAAATAAATAAAGAACTTAAAATTTGCATAGGTTGACACACTTCATAAAAAAAGAATCAAAACAGATGATCAACTTTGCTCCGTAAGACAATTATGTTTTCAATAAACAAACATGACACAGACAAAGAAAAGTTGATTATCTGGGCAGTACTTGCTGGAAAGAGCTTTAGAAAAAAGCTCATGTAGCCTATGCTTACAGAACACCCTTTTCTGAGTGGCTTTAATTGCGCATTACCAGTACTGAGTAGTACACAGAGCGCACTTAACATACGATAAACCAGGGAGGAAATAAAGACGAAGGTCCTTCAGAGAGCCAATTAACGACAGCTACGGAGAGGGATGAATAGGAAGATAGATCAGGAACCCCTCTTAGTTTCCTCTTGTCCAGAAAAGCAACCGTCCCACCTGCGCACACCCGAAACCAAGGCTCCAGCCTTTGCTTTAGCCAGTAAACCAAAAGCGACCAGTAGAGTCCAGACTAAGAGCTCACTCACTCACCTCCTGGATGCGCTTCCTGGCTCGCTGAAGCACTTCTTCGTAGCCCTTCTGCCGCAGCTCGCTGAGGCTTTCGTAATACTCCTCGGGATCATCGGTCTCGGTGAAGAGCACCTGGGAGAGAATCTTCCAGCCGCAAGTGTCCAAGCCATGGCCCAGGTAGACCTGGAGCTGGTAACACAGAGTGTCGATTTCCTGCTCGGTCATCTCGGGGGCGCCCCCGAACAGCACAGTCCACATGCCCGAAGGTTCCTCGGGGAACACCGGCAGGCACGGCTCCAACTGCGAGTTCACCGAGCACAGCTGCTGGTGCACCGCGCGCAGGTCCTGGAAAGAGAAGAGTCCGGCCCAGCTGCACTCTTCGGCCGGAGACTCCAGCTCGGTGGCTGGCGGCTGCTGCTCCGCCTCCGAGAGCGCCAGAGGCGCCTCGTCCTCCTTCACCATTTCCAGCACCTCGATCTCCTCGGAGACCGTCCCGGAGGCGCTCACTATCCGTACAGAGGACACCGGGGCCTCTCTGGGCGCCGGCCGGGCTGCCGCAGTAGCGGCCTCCGTCGCATCGGTGGCTTCAGACGTTCTCAGAACTGGGCTGGGTTTGGCCCGCACTGGGCTCCTAAGACGACTCTCCGCCCCTTTGCTGCCCGGACTCCGCAGCCGCGGGTCCCCCAGAAGGTTGCGAGTGCTCCGAGGAGAGCCGCCCTCCGCCAAGGCCGGACTCCGCCGGGTCCCGGGGCTTCTAACCAGAGGTGCAAAGGCAGTAGCCTCGGGCCGGCCCCTGCCAGCCGGGCTGCTGGGCCCGCGGCTCCCGTCGGACTCAGCTGTGCTGGCCTCGGCGCCAACTCGAGCCCCCGTCTGCTCCCGGGAGCCGCTCCTCTGCCTCTGGGCCGTCCGGTTGTGGCAGGTTATGGCAAACTTGCCCTCAATCTCGTTCCAGGCCACAATAAAGACGAATTTGTGCTTCTCGCGCTCCTCGAACACATGGGGTCGCACAGCCACCCAGTCCGACTCGAGTGTTTCCTCCAGCGCGAACGACATGGTGGCTCCGGTTTCTCGCCGCGCGGGAGGGCCGCTGGCCCACTCCGCCCGAGGACTCCCCGTTGGCTGCGCCGCGCCCCCAGCTCACCCTCGCCGGGCGCCTTCAGCCATCTTAGTGCGCCGGCCGGCTCTCCCGGCTCGCTCGCCAATCCCTCCGTGCTCGGATCGCGAGCTCCTTTGTGGCGCGGATCGCAAGAAGGACAATACGCGTCCCGGGAGCAGGTAGTTCACATGGTCACGTGCGGCCGGATCTGTTTACAAGCTCCGCGTTGCCGCAGAGCTTCGCGGCCGCCCGCCGCCCACCGCGCGGGGCCGTGGAGCTGCGTCTGCGGTGTACCGTAGGTGAGGCGCGGGTCCCGCGGGGTTGGGCCGGCGCTGTGTGGGTCCTGGTCGCTCGCCCCGCCCCCGCTGCTGCCGCGGAAAACTGGGGATCGGCCTGACTGAAGAACGCGTCTCCTAAACTCTGCGCCTCAGCATCGCCACAATGTTGCCATTCGACTGCTGACGTCGGCGGCTCCACGAGGGACGTAAACACGGGCACGTGCCGCACGCTGGTGACGCGGCGGCGGCGCGCGCACCCCGTCCGAGCGCGCCGGCGCCCCCCTTCGGCGTCCCCTGAGCCAGCCAGCGAGCGACCGCGCTCCCGGCTCTCCTTCCTTCCGTTCAGCCTCTTAGTCCCACCGACTGGAGCCAGCGGTCGACGGGTTGCCGGTTCCGAAGGCTATGAGAGTGGCAGGTGTGCCCTGCCGCACAGGTGGCCTCTGAACCCGGGAAAAGAGGAACTAAGACGGAGGAACTGAGACGTTTCGAACTCCAGGTTTTGAGCCCCTCGAATGTACGTTTGCCTCCATTCTCCTGGAGAGAGCCGGGACGGGCAGTCGCTCCTGCGTTCAGAAGTAGTGTCGCTGCGGGGAACGGCGTGCTGAATTCTATGGGGCTCGCCCGCAACCTGTTAGGTTCTCCCCTCATGCCCTTGAGACCGAAACAAAAATTCTAGAAGCTTTCCTGGAAAGACAGGAGTTTAAGATATGAAAGGAAGGTGTCTGAGGACAGCCCAGTAACACGCCAAAACAAAATGAAAATGCCATATCCTGAGCGTGAATATTTACATTTCAGTCCTTTTTTTTGTTTTTTTTGTTTTTTTTGAGACGGAGTCTCGCTCTGTCTTCAGGCTGGAGTGCAGTGGCTCGATCTCGCCTCACTGCAACCTCCGCCTCCGGGTTCAAGCGATTCTCTTGCCTCAGCCTCCCGAGTAGCTGGGACTACAGGCGCGCGCCACCATGCCCAGCTAATGTTTGTATTTTTAATAGAGACGGGGTTTCACCACGCTGGCATGGTTGTGTTGATCCCTTGTCCTCCTGATCTGCCCGCCTCAGCCTCAAAAGTGTTGGGATTACAGGTGTGAGCCACCGCGCGGGGCCCCATTGGTGTTTTATTGCTTCAGGTTTCATCATTATGTACTGTTCTGTGAACTTCATTTTGAGGTCACTGGGCTTTAGCCCTTTTGAAGTTGTATTCAATTATCGGAGTTTCCAGAATGCGTATACAAAAAAAGTCGTATCAATCTCTGCTCTTCTTACTAAATGGTGATGAAACACATTATTAAAATTGCCTGGTAGACTTTATAATCCAGTTTATGTTGTTGGCATTCTTTTTCCGATTAGTATCCAAGTCACAGATACTGTGCACCATAGTAAAGCACAATGGGAATTAGTTGTTCTTTTACTTTTATTCACATTTCTAAAGTATATGTAAAACCATCTGGATTAACCTTTTATTGTTAGGTTCAGTAATAAACAGCTGTTTATTCAGATGACAGAACAGTACTAAGCTTCAAACTTAGTTCAGTATTGTCCAGCTTAAACTCTAAGCTTCAACACTTGGGTCAGTATTGTCCCAATATTTGAATAAACAGCCCCCCCAAAAAATTTTTTTTGAAACAAGAGTCTCACTCTGTCACCCAGGCTGGAGCCCAGTGGCACGATCTCAGCTCACTGCAGCCTCTGCCTCCCGGGTTCAAGCGATTCTTCAGCCTCAGCTTCCCAAGTAGCTGGGATTACAGGCACACACCACCAAGCCCGACTAATTTTTGTAGTTTTCTTGGAGACAAGGTTTGTTCATGTTGGCCAAGCTGGTCTCAAACTCCTAACCTCAGATGATCTGCCCGCCTCTGCCTCCCAAAGTGCTAGGATTATAGAGGCAGCCAAACATTTTAGCCCTGTCACTTAGACATTTTAGACCTTTAGACATATAGATCTGCTTTGATGCTTCATGTCCCCCTCAACAAAAGGCACTTTGGGCAGGATGGGCAAAGTGCAAAATGACTTTTGTTTTTAACTTTTTTTTTTTGAGACGGAGTTATCACTCTGTTGCCCAGACTGGATTGCAGTGGCATGAAGTTGGCTCACTGTAACCTCTGCCTCCAGGCTTCAGGCTAGTCTCCTGCCTCAGCCTCCTGAGTAGCGGGGATTACAGGCGTGTGCCATCACACCAGACTATAATTTTTGTATTTTTAGTGGAGACGAGGTTTCACCATGTTGGTCTCGAACGCCTGTCCTCAGGTGATCTGCCCGTCTGAGCCTCCCAAAGTGCTGGGATAACAGGCGTGAGCCACCAAGCCTGGCTGGTTTTTAACATTTTGTACAGTTCTTTGTGTGAAACCACAAATTTTCCAAGTTTTTAACTGTGAGTTTATGTCAACTCTCAAATGCAAGTCAGAGACAGTTTTGAAAGGCAGGAAGGAGAGAAAACCCATTTCAAATCTGAATTACGGGGCTGGGCATGGTGGCTGATGCCTGTATCCCAGCACTTTGGGAGGTTGAGGCAGGCAGATCAGTTGAGGTCAGGAGTTCAAGACCAGCCTGGTCAACATGGTGAAACCCCGCCTGTACTAAAAATAAAAAATTAGCTGGGCCTGGTGGCACATACCTGTAATTTCACCTACTTGGGAGGCTGAGGCAGGAGAATCCCTTGAACCTGCGAAGCGGAGGTTGCAATGAGCTGAGATGGCACCACTGTACTCTAGCCTGGGCAACAATGAGACTCCACCTGAAAAAAAAAAAAAAAAAAGAAAAAGGAAAAAGGTTTGAATTACCAGCTAAGCAAATAGCACATTATAGAAAAATTTCTCTTTTCTACTAAAAAGCAACTGCTAAAAGTTAGTTTTTCTGATAAAACATTACTGACATGATCCCGTTATATATAATTGTGAATACAGGCTGGGCGCGGTGGCTCACGCCTGTAATCCCAACACTTTGGGAGGCCGAGGCTGGCAGATCACCTGAGGTCAGATGTTCAAGACCAGTCTGGCCAACATGGTGAAGCCCCGTCTCTTAAAAAAAAAAAAAAATTGTGAATACAGAGAATGAGTGTTAAAAAAAACTTTGTTTACAAGTTCCCTTCAGAAGAGAGGACGAAAAAAATTATTATTTAAAAAAAAATAGGGCCAGGCTCGGTGGCGCACGCCTGTAATCTGATATGAGTGGATCATGAGGTTAGAAGCTCAAGACCAGCCTGGCCAACATGGCCAAACTCTGTCTGTACTAAAAATACAAAAATTAGCTGGGCGTGGTGGTGCACACCTGTAATCCCAGCTACTCAGGAGGCTGAGGCAGGAGAATCACTTGAACCCGGGAGGTGGAAGTGGTGGTGCGCTGAGATCGCGCCACTGCACTCTGGCCTGGGTGACAGAGCAAGACATCCTCTCAAAAAAATAATAATGATATGTTGGCTGGATGGCTGGACACGGTGACTCATGCCTGTAATCCAAATGCTTTGGGAGGCCAAGGTAGGAGAATCGTTTGAGCCCAAGAGTTTGAGACCAGCCTGGGCAATATGGGGAGACCCTGTATCTACAAAAAAAATAAAATAGGCCGGTGTGGTGGTTCACACCTGTAATCCCAGCACTTTGGGAGGCCAAGGCGGGCAGATCACCTCAGGTCAGGAGTTTGAGACTATCCTGACCAACATGGAGAAACCTTGTCTCTACTAAAAATACAAAATTAGCTGGATGTGGTGGCACATGCTTGTAATCCCAGCTATTCGGGTGGCTGAGGCAGTAGAATCACTTGAACTTGGGAGGCAGAGGTTGCGGTGAGCTGAGATTGTGCCTTTGCATTCCAGCTGGGGTAACAAGAGCAAAACTCCATCTCAAAATAAATAAATAAAATAGCTGGGCATAGTGGTATGCACCTGTGGTCTCAGTATTTGGGAGGCTGAGGTTGGAGGATTGCTTGAGCCCAGGAGGTCAAGGCTGCAATGAGCCATGATCACACCATTGCAGTCCAGCCTGGGCAACAGTGGGACTGTCTCAAAATAAATAAATAGGCCAGGTGAGGACGCTCACATATGTAATCCCAGCACTTCGGGAGGCCAAGGTGGGTGGATTGCTTAAGGTCAGCAGTTTGAGACCAGCCTGGCCAACATAGTGAAACCCTATCTCTGCTAAAAATAAAAATTAGCTGGGCATGATAGCAGGCACCTGTAATCCCAGCTACTCAGGAAGCTGAGACAGGAGAATCACTTGAACCAGGGAGGCAGAGGTGGCAGTGAGCTGAGATTGCACCACTGCACTCCAGCCTGGGCAACATATCAAGACTCTGTCTCAAAAATAAATAAATAAAAATAATGTTATAAGAAGTATTTTATGGCTGGGCGCGGTGGCTCACGCCTATAATCCCAGCAATTTGGGAGGCCAAGGCAGGTGGATCATGAGGTCAAGAGATCGAGACCATCCTGGTCAACAATATGAAGCCCGTCTCTACTAAAAATACAAAAATTAGCTGGGCATGGTGGTGCGCGCCTGTAGTCCCAGCTACTCAGGAGGCTGAGGCAGGAGAATTGCTTGAACCCAGGAGGTGGAGGTTGCGTTGTGCCGAGATCACGCCATTGCACTCCAGTCTGGGTAACAAGAGCAAAACTCCGTCTTAAAAAAAAAAAAATTTTATGTACATGTGTATTGAAATTATAATATTTTATTAAATGGTGTTAAGAGAAAATAAAATTATAATACTTATTCACACATATAACATTTTATCACAATAGTGCTAGAGAAAACTGGTTCATGGTTACACAGGTGTTAAATATTTCCTCTGAATACACTGGCCACTGTGTTTTGTCAACGAGATGTTTCAGTGTTTCTTGTTCATGCTATCTTAGTAGTTGTTATCCTCGAAATGAAAAGAAACAAACCAAAATTCCCGTGATAGGTTACTATAGTACTCTGCAATTCTTTATTTAGGTCTGTATCTGATTGCCAAGCAAGATCTCTCAGTGTATAAGTTACTCCGTGGGAATAAACAAAACTACAGAAAAACCCCACATACACCATACGAGCCTTCAAAGGGCTTGAAAACTATTATCTATTTGAAGTTTTTAGAACTATTGTGCACTGTTAGGAAACTCAGAAAATGCTTTAACTCTTTAGTACTGTTCATAAAAACTATGGTAATTTTCATAGTGGTTTTCAAATCACATAGCATTTTCTTACACCTGTTCATTTTATCCTCACAATCACGAAATACAGGTATACAAGGAATAAGCATCTTTATATAGGAGAAAACAGCAGTTCAGATTAGTTAGGTCACACATCCCAGGGGTGGGAGCAGGGAGCAACTTCAAGTTCAGGGGCCCAATTGCAGATCCATTGGTGTCTCAGTTAGATTGTCCCAGAAGCAGACACTGAGAAGTCAAGAATGCAAAAAATGTATGGGGTGCTGGGCACAGTGGCTCACACCTGTAATTACAGCACTTTGGGAGGCTAAGGCTGGCAGATCACCTGAGGTCAGGAGTTTGAGACCAGCCTGGCCAACATGGTGAAACCCATTTCTACTAAAAATACAAAATTAGCCAGACATGGTGGTTCATGCCTGTAATCCCAACTAGTTGGGAGGCTAAGGCACTAGAATCACTTAAATCTGGAGGTGGAAATTGCAGTGAGCCAGAATCACACCGCTGCACTTCAGCCTGGGCATCAGAGCCAGACTCTGTCTCGGGGGAGAAAAAAAAAGTGTGCGGGCAACATCTGTGAAAGAGTAGGGTCAGAGGCAGAATTGGGCGGGCTAATCCAACAGGGAGCTCCAAGGCAAAAACTTCCCTTAAAGAACTTCCTCATAGCTGAGCACTGTGGCTTACACCTGTAATGCTAGCACTTTGGGAGGCCAAAGCAGTAGATCAACTGTGGTCTGGGGTTCGAGACCAGCCTGACCAACAGGAGAAACTCTGTCTCTACTAAAAATACAAAATTAGCCAGGCATAATGGCGCATGCCTGTAATCCCAGCTACTTGGGAGACTGAGGCAGGAGAATTGCTTGAACCTGGGAGGCAGAGGTTGCACTGAGCTGCCATCATATCATTGTACTCCAGCCTGGGCAACAACTCCATCTCAAAAAACAAAACAAAAAAA